TTAGGGCCACGAAATATGCACAAAAACCCACAATTTTCCAACTTTTTGACCAGCTATAAAAATTATTTCGCGCTGTACAAATATCGATTACTCTTTGCCTAGAGAAAAAAACTCTGATAATCAGCTAATACGAACTTTCATATTTCACTAAATGTTATCTCTCTATGAAAAAGAAATTCGTAATAAGGACCATGTTCTTCATGTACTGAAAATTCTACGATTGTTCTACACAGAAAATTTTGTACTAACCGAATCGGAAATTAACAAATTTTTAAAAATATTTTTCAGGGTTTTACATCCCGAAATCACGATATCGTTATGAAGGACGCCGTCGTGGAGGGACCCGGAAATTTTTACCATGTTGACATCTTTATAGTGCACTGGGATTGCACAATGCACGGGACTCTACCACTACTCGTCCATCACAATGCGACTACCATGGTCGGCATCGAACACGTGGCCTTCGGCTCAGCAGCCGACCACGGTAACCACTAGACCACCATGGCAGACGAAGCACATATTCTTTTTATTATTTTAGAACACGTTTTACGAGTCGTAGTTTCTAGCTTTTGGGAAGAATCCACACGTTGTTTTAGATTTCTTCATCTAAAAGGTCTCTCTTGTTTTCCACACCTCGGTGCTACCTGCCACCAGCCACATATTATTAGACAACGGGGAGGAGATGAACTTCGGCTCGACGAGGAAACACGCCGATAGGCTGCAGCGTGCCAAGATTTCACGGTATATATTGTCTAGTTTTCGGCGCACCGGCGTACCGGCACCGTAAACAGAAATTCACCTAACGCCGCCAGCATAAAGGGAGACGCACACATTACACGGCTGCACTACGGTGCTGACAAGTCCGAACACTGTCGACATAGAGTAATACAACTGCTGTAGACAAGTAATCAGTGAAAATGTCACGCTCGAAAAGTAAACACGACCAACACAATCAATCTGTGATTTCTGTAAATGATGAATTTTCTGCTCTCAGTACGTACTTCGTTTCAGAAAAAGCATGCATGATACAAGCCGCGTGAAAACGACATTGATAAAGGGGCACTGCGTTTATGGCCACGACTTTACTCGAAGAGGCCTAATCTACTACATGACACAGATAATTAGTGGCACGAGCTGTAACCCAAACGGCAAGTAAATGCGAAGGATGGCTCTCACCTCCACGATGCAGACCAGACAAAAAAGCAGCGCCAGCCGGGTCCCGATCCGTGTATGCGTCCTGGCATTTGAGGAGGGCACAAACTAGAGTAGTTACTGCCGACGGATGAGTGACGATGGCAGTACGCCCGCCGTGGTCGACTGATTCCTCTTCACGCGATGCCCGCCTAAACCGCCATTTGGGAACAAATACAGTTTCGTGGAACAAAAGAAGTGCAGAACACGTCATGGCGATGCATGCGATGGTGGTATGGGACGGCCATATTACTATAAATTTCTGCAGATCATCCGTATTGCAAATGATTACTTTCGTCTAATTTATTGTTGACTGTGGAGACACTTGTTTTTTGCACTATTCAGCGAAACATTATTGGAAACCTGTGCTCTGATCGTAATATTCGCGATGTGGTGAAGTCTGTGATTCTTAAACGTGTGCTGTATCCTTGATGTTGGTGAAAAGGCGGAGTGTGTTTATTTCCTCGACACAATGTACGTATTTCTGTCCGTAAATACGTGCAGTTTTTTGCAGTGTAGGTCTCATTATTATTGTGCCAAAACACGAGAAAAACGAGCCTTTAAGTATACACTTCTTCCCCTTATTCATAACGAGGGCCTCGTTCTGGCAGACTTGGTGCCTTTAGGTTGTATACGCGGGACTATTGGTCAGCTGCCAGCTCGTAATAAGTTCGCGCCCTACATGACGCCACACATGCTCATAAAGAGTGTGCCACACTCGCCGCCATGGCTACTGGTGGCACTGACTGACACTTCCACGTTGAAATTCACATATATACCCAATAAAGTGCCTGGAGAGATAGCCGCCATGGTAGCTCAGTGGGAGAGACACGAACGCGTTGTTCGAAGGGCTCAGGTTTGGTGGCGGCCCACGGCAAATTACCTTTTCAGCCTCTTTTGTTTCTTCACATTCCCATTACAATTCAGTCTAATAATTTCCCGTATATACTTTCCCTGGCATTATTGTCAGTTATAACTGAATAATATTGTGTCAAAACACCAAAAAACGAGCCCTAGCTTATACACTTCTTTCCCATATATATATATATATATATATATATATATATATATATATATATATATATATATCTCAATTGTGGGTTTTGTCGGCAGCCCGTATAGCAATGTGCACTTCGAGTTTTCTTTGTTTCATCCACTGTCTGTTAAGTGGCGATACCACTGCTGTATGGTTGGTGATTAAGAGGGTGTGCATGCGTGCTTGAGCGCGCGCACGCATGCGCAATCCACACAATATCCTAATGGACAAGAGGTTAACTACAGGCAAGCGCCTCCTAATAACAGATGTTGTACAATGGCGTTATATGATTGTAGAAAATGACTCATCATTGAGGCACACTCTTCATCAACGAAATGTTTCATCAATTGGTGATACGCTCCCTGTTTGACATCGCATGCTAAAACGGCGTTCCCATGTCTGATGCTTCTGCCTGATGTTCATTGGGCTAGTAGGCCCTGTTGCGTTGATTTCATCATCTTGTAAACATAATCGCGGCTAGCGGATAAGGTCACTCAAGCTCTTGCCAGTCTGTCAGTACATGTTGTACGTCGGTATGGGTCACTGTGTGTTAGTACATATATGATGTTCTTTTAAATTCGAAGAAATTTAAATGAACTTCGCTGACTTTGAGCGTATTTATATATCTATCTATTTATCTATCTTTCTATCTATCTATCTATCTACCTATCTGTCTATCTGTTTATCTCTCTATTTATCTATCTGTCTTGCCACGTAGGAATTTTAGCCCTCCTAGCCATCTCAATAATGGAATTCATACCAAAATTGGTATAGCATAACATGATTGTATGGCGAGCGTAATTCACTCGTGAGAACATGAAAATATAGATATGTATGTGAGTAATGTCATAATTTACATTTCATGGTCTTGCTGCTCTTGCAGTGGTTTCGTTCACGTGACATTTTGCAAAACTGGTATGGTATCACAAGACAGCATGGAGAACATAGGTGACACATCCCAACGTGCAAATCATGATATGCATGTCATGGTTTTCATGTTATCACTTCTCATGTCTACACGCCACGCTCATGATGCGCTCGCGGTCGTTTCGCTAGCTTAATATATACCAAATATGGTGTGACGTGACGTCAATGGATGACAAAGGGATATGACTTGTGCAAGCAGATATTCATGAAATGAGTGTCACGCAAAAATATGACAACATACCACGCTCGAGATGTGCTCGCGGCCCCTTTGCTAGCCTCACCAAAACTTGTATCATGACAAGCGTATCTTGTAAAACATGACTACATGCTACACTCATAGCACGCTCGCAGCAGTTTTGTCTGCTCCACTATACGAGTTTTGGTATCACGTTACGCTAATAAATGGCGAAGGTAAATGACATATTCAAACATAATAATCATGGCATTGAAGTCATGCACGACATAATTTACGTCCGCCTCGTAATGTTGTGCTGATTTTAAAGCGACGTATCAACCTTTAAAGGGGCATATCAACCTAAAATTGTTTCTCACAGTACGTGGGATCTGCCTGTTCTTTTTTTATTAGTTGCCTTTTTTTTTCAAAAGAAATATGTGCAGAACGAGTGTTCAAACCTGTCCCGTGCTGCAGAAACGACAGCAGGAGAACTGCAGAAACGACAGTGGAAGAATAGAAAAAACAAGCTGTTTACAGGCTGGTGGGGGGAATTGAGAATGCGTACGTTTTATGGTTCTGGCAATATTTATCGATGTTAAAATCAACCAAAATTTAAGGAGCCATATGACGTCTCGGACTGCTGAAGGCCCTTACAAACTTTCTAAAGACAAACCGCCTGCAAATAGGATTACACGGGGCGTATCAATTTCATCTAGTGGGTTAAATAAACCAGCACGTCTTAGTTGCGCTCCTAACTCGAAGCACGTCCGTGCGTCCTTTCGTTTACCTTCATCGCTCAAGCCTTCTAGTCCTCATATGTCGTGTGCGATTTCTAACATTCTCGTAATATTTCTTCCACTTCACTCAGCACTTAAACTTACCTGGTGTTGTTTAACACAGTCAATAAACTCTTTCTTCACAACTTTCATGTCGAGATTCAAACCCCTACTTACTTCGATGCTTAAGTTTTAACTCCAGATATTCCCAGCAAAATGACACTCGATACTAAACATCCAAAAGGTTAGAACACTGGCGTAACCTGAGGGTAGGGTGGTCTCAAGGGTTCAGACACCCTCCCCGCCCGGCCAATATTTCGACAATTTGTATGTATACATATACACACGCTACAAGCACAAACATACATAAAACGCGGTCGGACCACCCCGTTGCACCCCTCCCCAAACGGCAAAAAAATGTTTCGATTTACGCTTGGTGGAAGCAAGGGAATTCGTCTTTCAAAACACACAACCGCAACAACCAGCAGTAGTCTCTTTTGTGCAGATTGCATGGAATTCCACTTCCAATGTGTTCATGCACAGCTACATTTTTTCCGTTATCTCGCATATATCCGTATTTCTTTCATTAAGTTAATGCGTGGAATTTGTGGAATGTGAGTTCCTTTTTTTTTTTGAACCCATATTTTTTCGAGGTCTCGGGCAGTCGTTTGTTGAACCTATGTCACAAAGCTTGTTCGAGTCTATTGTTATTCTCGGCTTTCATCTGCACCGTTAATGCTGCACCGTGAATAAAAGGTCCACTGCTTCGCAAAGTACTCTATAGTCGCGAATAGCTAAGGGATCATCAGTATTACCGCTTGACACACACCACATTAGAAAAACGGTAGAAGGAAGCTCCACCGACGAAGTCGCCACGGGTCCAGTGCGAGCACCGTCATGCTCTTGAGCAACGACATATCTCCGGTCTGGGTTTGGCCACAATGAATGAGTCCCTGCGCAGCTGAATCAAACGAAGGCTGGATGTTAGCGTGTCCGTCTTCGTAACGAGAAGAGAGCGCCGCCGCACGTTCTGGGTCCTGCGGGAATGGCAGCGAAGCATGTTCTGCAAAGCCTCTTTGACCTCGAACATGCGCGCTGCGTAAATGAACGGGTCTATGAGGCCTTTAGAGATGATGAGAGCATTGGTGAAAATGCCGAGAGTCATGCGCGTGGACATGGGCAGATCGTAGATCGGAAAAGCGCAGTCAGTACAGGTGAGGACGATGAAGGCTACAGCTGGCATCCAGCCGGCGAGGTACGTGCCCAATATCCAGAGCGTCGTACAGGCAGCCTTGACATTCCGGTTCAGCTGGCGAGCCGATGGAAAACTGACTAAGCCCGCCCGGTGGCGTCGTATGACAAAAAAGATGTGTGAGTAAATGAATGTCATGACGACCAGTGGCGACGAAAAAAGAGCGAGCAGCGTGAGGCTGAAGGCGCGACCCCGCACGAAGTCCACCTGGACACACCCGGGGGACTGGAGCCCCTGGCCGGGAACCGAGGCGAAGTAGACGAAGAACACTATCACGGGTAATGCCCACAGTACGGCGATGGACAGCTCCGAAGAGCGCCGCGTGACCATGGCGGCGTAGTGTAGGGGCCGCAGGATTCCCACGTAATGATTAACAGCCAGGGCGAGAAGATGGAATGCTGATGCCAACAGTCCTGACAAACGAAATACCTCGACGACGAGCACTATGCAGCGCTCCTGGGAACCCAGCGAGATGCCGTACACAGGCAGGTAGCTGTTGAGGATCAGTCCAGTGGCCAGCAGTAGGGCTGAGTAGGCGTCGGCAAATGTCAGAGACAGGCTGAAGCATAGCGTCGGGGATACAGGACGCCGTAGCCAGCGTAACGAGACTAGAACACCTGCATTGAAAAGGAATGCCAGCGAGCAGCCGACCAGGAGCACTGGCACAGCGAACGTGTACACGGCGCGCTGGTCCTCGCCCAACGATCTGCGCGAGTCCGAGCTGTTGCTTTCCATAGCTTGGCCAAAAGTGATCGTTTGGTCGGAGCTCCGTGAACCAAGTCGCCAATGTGAGCGCGCGGCGGCGCTCGCGTCTTCAAACCGTGACGTCGGGGCTTGCGCGCCGACGCCCGCCGTGGGCTCGGTGGTGACCGGCTCCTCGCGTCCGCTACGCTTTCTCACCCTCACCCTTTCGCGCAACAGATTTCTCACGAAGACCGCTGCCTTGACACTTGCTTCAATGTATTTTGAAAGTGAGGTCTATACAGACCGATTCGCCAGTTAGCAGTGATTTTTGTAGCCCGTTATAGCAATGTCATACTATGTTACCTGCGCTCAACTCAAAAGCTTTTTCCCTCAACTATTAATTTTTAGGAAGCACTTTCTCGAGACATTTATCTGTATTTCCAAAGGTGAACAACGTTTCGACTAGAAAAAAATGAACGAACATTTTATAAGAGTTTTACTTTTATTGTATTCTGTTGTCGGCTCAAATTATAATGGAAACCTCCGTAACAAAGCGAATATCTTGCAATACTTTCGTTATGTATCACTTGTTTCAGGTGAAAGCAAGTGTTCTGAAATTTTCAATAAATGCCCCCATCTCCTCGCAAACTACTAGACGATGCAGCTAGATGCACATTACGGAGGCTACTGAGTGGCCCTTGTGGCATGTGTGGCAAAAACTGACTTCCGCCATTTCGAATCATTCGCAATAGGATAGATGGGTGAGCTAGTTTGGCTAGCATCATTCTCGTCAAAAATGCTCGTACGTTCTTTGTGATAGTTCACATCTTAATGTTACTTCAAAATTTAAGGAAAGAAAATATAGGATTGAGAGGAGAACACACCATGTACTCTATATATACTGGTGTGTCTTGCTGCTAAGAATTTTTTTTCTACGATGCAGCTGCATAAGCTTTTACTTTACGCCTGATTCCCGCAAATCATGGCACACTCTCTCACCAGGCAATGAAAACTCTGTTATGATTGCGAATACCATTAATTTTTCTATGCAGTTACTAAAATGCTGAGTAGTTCTATAATGCTAAAGTATTGCAGTAAGTGTTGAAGGCTTTTTTATTTATTAACTTACATACTAAGAGTTGTGTCTAGTACAGTGGTATTCTTGACCATTTTCTATCCCGATACTCATTACGGACAGCTCAATGCAATGCTGCTCGATATACAAAATTCATGTGAGTCGAGAACATTAGCATCATCTTGAAGGCTTATTGCCTAATTCTTGTAATAAACATGATTTGTTCATCCAGAGATTGATGATGTCGTATTTATGTAAATTGCTAGGACATGTCACCCTTACGGGTCGCATAGAGTTCCTCTGAACAAATTTCACCGCATTTTCGGCAATGTTCATGCCGAATATGTGGCACTGTGACTCATGTGGTTAAATTTTCTCAGCCCTCTGTAAAATAACGTGAGACATCCAACTTCTCGCTCATTTTCTATTTATCGCCCTGAAACATTCGGTACTGAAATACAACCAACGCTAATGATAAGTGGCCACTACACCTTGATTATTCTTGAGGCTTCCTCCTAATTAAGTTTACTCAAAATCTACTTCGTTTACGTCAATGCAGCTGACTCAGTTTTTGCAACTTTTTTTTTCAGGCGTACCGTTGCGTATGTTAGTAAGCACTTTAATGGTTTTTTTTTTCATTCCTGCTAATGACAACCCTGTGAGTACTGGGTCGAGCACAATACTATATGCTGCTTACCGAATCATTTATTATTTTCTAACCTGAGCAGCATATAAACACCACACTAATAACCATTTCCTCTTCTTCTGTATGGCACTACACAAGAAACTTTAAGGTAAACCTCAGAAGGAGAATTATTCATCACCAAACGAATTCCGTTGTATTTTGTTAGCGCCTAAATAAAGATTTTCTATTCAATATATTACCATGGGCACACTAAGGCCATCTCTTTACAGTCGGCTTCTAGGGGTGCTCATTCAATAGGTATATTTCACTAAAGATTGAAGTATTGGTGGTGTTCGTCTCTACTTTAACTCCTCATCAAAGGACGCGCTAAAAGTCTATAACATAAACCATCGCTCTGGCCAATTTTAGAATACATTTGCGTGGCTTGGAACCCGTGAAGGGACCTTGAAAGCAGTGTGAAAGAAAGTACACAAAAAAAAACAATTCGTTCTGCTTTGTGTTTAGGTACTACTGCCCTTTTTCGCTATTACTCAGCTGTTCACTACGTTATACCGACGGTAGCTTTTATTCCTCCTGCATGTCCACGCCTTCAAACTCTTACATTCTGTCATCAATAAGGGCTTTCCACTCTCCGAGGCAAAATACTTCTCTTGAAATTATTTCCATGCTAACTTTATTTTTATTTCCATCTTCGCTGTAATATACTAGGATACATCTTTATCTTCGCATAACACCGATATACCTGGTTTCCAGATTCATTCATTGCTTGTCACTGCCACACGTTTTTTAAGGCCGTCATTGTTAACCATCGGACCCATCTTACTATCATTTCGTTTATTGGGGCCCTGAAACACTTTTTTTAGTAACCATGGAAATAATTCACTGGAAAAGCGTATTGCCTGAAAAATCAACGCCGCAAAAATTTTAGGAATCTGTCTAGTACGAGTGGGGTTACAAAGATTTGTCACACGCTGCAATTGCAATCTTTCTTCTCTCGTCCCGACAAAAGTGCTGGAAGCTAAGCAGGGAGGCATGGGAGCGGCAAACAAAAAAAAAAACGTCATGCGCGCCTCCTGAACTTGAGCACTTTCCTCTCTTTTTTTTTTCTTCGAATGCACGGGTTTTTCAGTGTGATCGCATGCGCACGCGTGTAGAGATAGCGGTCTCTCGCGGCAATCTTTGTAACGACCGAGCGAGCCTTGTTCAAATCAGTCAATGGCTGATAGATGGCTATTGGCTGATAGATGAGTTATTGGGTAGATTGGACGGATGAATTTCCCTGTCTTGTCATCTTCTACACCTTTGCAATAAGAAACCCGCCGTCGATAGTTACGAGTCATTTTTGGGCTTATTCTGTGGTTTGTCGGCAGAAGAGAAAGCAATTTTTGGCTGACTTTGATGAGTTATTGTGAATTCCAGGACGCGTGCTGCGCTAAAATATTTGGCTCGCGTGTTGCCCGCAGCCTCTGCTGCGAATCGGCAGCGTGTTCGCACCACGCCCGCAACGTGTTGCAGGGACCCTTTAATTCTTAATTTCTATGCTAACTGTATTACCGCGTGTCCACTTTTTGTCCTTTCCTGACCCTGCTTTGGATGCGTTACAACTTTTATATCAATATTTACCACTCCAGCTACCAAGCAATAAGAAAGCCAATATATCGAACTACAGAAAAACGTATGTACAATAAGTTACGGCTACTGCACTGTTTCAGCAACGAAGGGAATATTTATCCTACAGCTGGCTACTGTATGTTCTCGGGAAGCATGTAGTACACGCCTATTAATCACACCATCCTTATAAATTGCCGTTATCGACTGTGCTTCCGTCCTTCGCACTCGTTCTCTCACTCCAGTGAACGATGCGTTTTCTACCCCAGACATTACAAGACATACCCAGCTCTATAGTTTTGTTTTAATAAGGTCATTAAAAATATACCTGATTTTGTTTCTTCGTAATCCTTACCGCTGTCTCTCATTCTAGTAATGCACGTAACGTCCAGCGTTATATCGCTTGCTGTCCGCTGTTTCTTTAGTTTCATAGCCAGCCACTTTCTGCCTCATACGCCAGAACAAATAAAAATTTAATTAACGTACACTTATCTTATTAAGAATAGCAAAATAGATGGCCGGTAATTAATTGTTAACTCCTCTCTTATTTGCGACGCTTGTTTATGTTTGTGGAGTGCTTATTTTTCAATCATGTAAAGGTCTGCCAATACGCTAAAACACGTAAAATTCAGTTAGTGCGTACTTTTCTTATCAAGAAGAGCAATAAGCAACAGGTAATTTATTAGTAATGCCAGTCTTACGCCCTTCCAGGCATAGGTATGTGTTAAGAGGTTTTCTTTTATTGTTTCAAGGTTCGGCCTTGGCTGCCTTCAGCGAAACTTTAGAGGCTAGCTCCGACTAAAGAATCCTTCTTTTTTTACTATGATAATTCAGGTTATCTCAGTCTAGTTCCATTATCCCATCTAATATTGGCTGAAATACTAAACCGTGTGCCCCCAATTTTTACAGCTTTGCTGACAAATTCGTCTGTATATCATAGATTGCTGTGACATTCACCGCTAGTATTCCCTCCTCAACCCACCCAAATAGTTCTAAGCATCGTCCGAAGAATAATCAAGAAACTGTTGAGCCTTTTTCCTTGCATACCCATTTAATTCATCATTATTTTTCTACTTTGTTGTTTTTGCTTTAGGACGTTCACAGGAATAAATGTTCTGTTTGCAAACACCCTTTTTTGGAAGTTTGCAAATTGGGTAGTTTGTGGAAATACAATCGATTCAGGCCGCACCTGGCAGGACTAATTTGAGATCGCTTAAAAGGGCGTTTGTCCTGTGTAGTGGATATAAGTATAATGAAGTTGTTCCTTGATTAGAATCACGTCGAGTTGTTTTTTATTAAAATTCACTGCCCAAGCACTTCGTACACATCGTACTCAGTGAAGCTGTAACAAACAACCCTAGCATTTATCACTGCGTTAATCCCTCCTGCTTATTAAAATATTTTTGAATTATTACTTACGTTTGTCCAGAATATATATAATATATTATTATATTAAATATTTAGTCAACTAAGTTTGAGTAGTGGTGTTGCCCAATATCTCTGGCACATGCACATAAGAAGTTATTGGGTAGATGAATTTCCCTGTTAGGTAGACAAATTTCCCTGTCCCGTCACTTTCTACAGCTTCATAAGAAACCTGCCGCTGATAGTTACGAGTAAAGGTCATAATCACGGGGCGATGGCGTAAATGGCACCGTAATGCAATTGAAGCTGTCATGCAGGCTCAAAGGCCAGATTTCTAGATTTCCTCGACGGATTGCG